CCTTCTATTTCTCTCTTAATACTTGTCTTTAGATTCAGCCAATCAAGAGTATCTGTTCACCTAAGGAACAAAAATTATGAGGTCGCTAATGCTCTTTTTGCTTGTCGTTGGTTGCTGTTATTTCAACTCAGCAGAGAGCTGTTGAGCATGAGAGGATAAACTAAATGTCAAGTCTGACTTGCACCAAGTAGACAGGCTGTCTGTTTGACTGCCCTGCCAGTTCACACAAGGTGAAGAATACAACCTCGCTGTGGCAGGGTGGGGGAAAGAGGATTACTCCTGCAGCACCCATTCATACACTCAGCAGATTTACCATCTGCCATGAATAAAAGGTGGGATGAGCTGCAGCATTTCACAAGCACGGTAGGAAAAAGTGCATTGTAATCTGATCACTGTAATCACTGCAATTACCCAGCTCTGTAGCAGCACCAGGGAAGTGGTCAATAAGTTCCTCTAGATGTTGAAGAGCTCAGTGTACTCACAAACACGAGGGAAGGACAGAACAGGTTGTGCCTTGCCTCCTGTTTCAGGCTGTACCTGCCTGACACTGCTACCAGGAATGGCTGGCTCAGAGACCAGATGTTTCCTACCACGAGGCGTGCAGCTCCCACAGACACAGGCTGCTCTGCCCCGGTAGCCACGAGATGAATAGCAATGAGTTTGTCATGAATCTAGAGGTAATTGCCAACACTCAGCTGCCATCCCCTGAATTTCTGTTACAATATAATGTGTAATTTCCCTTTGCAGTGACATTGTGGTTCAGATCATTTCAGAAGCATTTTGTTTGCTGGAGTATTTATGTGTAGTATCCATCTTTACTCAATCAGAAGACAGCTAATTTCTTTGCTGTGCTAATTATGTCAGAGCAAAACACAACGTGTTTATGCTTGTTCTTGTCAGTCAGTTTGAGAAAGTGATTTCCTTTGAGTGACTCTATCACATAGTTTCTGATGTTTTGTTTGTAGACTACCTAATGATCTGTTCCTAAATTTCTCTGGAGTTGTGCATGCGGTGACATGCAGGCAGTGCAAGTATAGTCCACAGAGGGCTGGGTATTGTTCACAGCAGCCTGTACATACCCAAAGTGCAGAGTAAGCTATAATAGTATCAGTGCCTGGTATCTATTCATACTCTACATGCCTGTGGTTACATGTGTTGACTTGCAGCCTGAGTCACATAATGATGGGTTACATCTGACATACACTATCATATAAGCATAGAACAACAGGACTGGGAAGCATATATAAATATATAGACAGTAACACACTCAAATTGGTTTTATGGAAGCAATTATATGACATAGCTGCTCACCATAGATGAAGAATGGGCTTCTCACCCCAGAAGGTCCTCTGAGTTGTACAACATTAAAACTGAAAAAAAAAAGTTGTCTTTGGAACAATGGAATTCCTTTTACAATTTGAGTACTGGATTTGAAATTTGGGTCAGCAATCAGAACAGACATATAAAAAACCAGAAATTACAGAAGTCCTGAGTGAATATAAGAATCTTCATTGGCATTAATGCAGTCTGACCACATTTCTCCCAGTTCTTACTTTTGGCCTTGCTTTGACATCCTCTCACATTTTTATCACTTAACAAGATGGAAATAATAGGGGAGAAATACAATCCCATCGCTACCTGCAGGGTGGAATATTCTGTCTCAGAAAACAAGTTTCCTGAGCTAGCCAAGAAACTGATAGTGGTTTTGTCAACCCCACAAGCTGTGGTGTATAGAGCCACTCTGGCAGGGTCCTGCGCTACTCAGCAGAAGACTTCTACAATGAAAACCATGTCTGCGCATCAGAAGGGGGAGCCTGGCTGTGTCTGCAAGGGCACCAACAACTTCAGAGAGCAAAGAGGAAGCAATGCAGCATTCTCTGCCATGCACACGTCTGGTAGGGGTGGAAGGGGGTTTGGGTTTGTTTTTTATGAGAGGGGTGAAGGTAGGAAGATCAGATAGGAAGGAAAAACAGATAACTCAGGAATTTCAAGAGTTAAACTGTCCTTAAAACTAGTTCTCCCACTGAGATGAAAGGAGCAGCTTGCACGTGGCCTCAGCTGTGCAGCTGCACACCCAGGTTTCCCCTCCACCAGGGATTTTACCATCTACAGCTTTTCAGGCTCGGTGCAACTTTAAATTAATGTAAGTAGTATCTACATGATGTATACAATTCTATTCCTTCCACAAGGCACAGCTCTACCAGACATTCTGCTTCTACCCAAAATTTTTCTCAAACATTTTGTATGCAGGAACCAAAGAGTAACATGGAAAGAAACTGCCAGAGGTGCATGAGACTTAAAGCACCAAAAGGCTTTCTTAAATCAGCATCCAAATCTGAGGGGATACAGCTGCTCTCCTGACGATGCAGGGCTCTGTCACTGTTTTTCATATGCTTTAAAACCAGGATCCTATGCCAGCAATCAGTCTGAGATATTTGCAAATAGACTCTGCAACCAAGGTATCACAGTCCTATTTGGGGGGGAAAAAAACAAAACAAAACAAAAGAAAAAAATATACCATTAAAAGCGATTAAAATGTGTATGTTTACAAGTAGGGTTTAATTCTGCTTGTATTGTATTATCGACATGCAGCCACTTTTTATGCTGGCTGCTGACAACATTTGATGTGTTTTTCCTCCTGTGCTTATTTTTAGTTGCCATAGGAACTTTCTTATTTCCTGTCAGCTGATGCCCTTATTTAGTACTATTAATTGTACAAAAAGGTGTTGATTCTGGTACTCCAGATGCTGAAAAAACGTGCACTTTACAAAGACAGAACACACATTTCAGTTTATTCAGACTTTTATTCACTTATTTCTACCAATATTTAATTCAAAAAGCTGGGTACTGTAAAAGCAGTTGTTATCACATCTGTGGAATCTGGAGTAGATCCTCTCCAGATCCTCTCTTTCTTCTTGCTTGATCTAAGTTTCCCTCCCACTACCATAAATATACTTATGTGAAATAGTATCTTTTGTCTGTAGAGCTTGTAGGTTCATTCTTTCTCACTTCCCACATACCTAATTATCTTTTTTTTTCCAACAAAAAATCCCCAAAACTGCTGTTAAAATGCATAGGAGTGAAAAGAAAATTTTCCAACATATGAAGAAACATAGTCTGGAAAAATATTGGGACCTAAAGGGGGGTTCTTTTTGGCAAATACCAGTTCTTCTTCTCTTATATATAATAAGATACTATGCAAAAGATTATTTCCTATTAAATTTATTGTGTGACCAGAGAGCAATAAAGAATGACTGGAACTGACTGAGAACTACAGCAGCTTAAACTGGCACTTTCTTTATCCACATCAACTATGAAATTTCCACAGTTCTTCCCATTAACTGGTCACATATTTGGAGAAAAAACCTGTTCAACGTATATATTTGCATTTGAGTTACAATTCCATTGCAAGCTTATTCTAGTCCTTCTCTGGAAAAACTTAGGAAAATAGCACAAATGTACACAAATGTATTCCTTTTTCCAGTTCACATCACTGCTTCTCATAAGATGGAGGAAAACAAGTAGCTTAGAATAAAGAAACTAGCAAATTAGCAAGCATTTAAAACTTTGGAAAATAATTCCTGTGGTGTGACTTAAATTATTCAAACTCCATCTAAGGTTTTATTCAAGCATCCTAAAGATAACTTGAACCTCCTCACTGACTTCAGGGCCTCCTGGATTAGTCCCACTGAATAGGTAATTGGGGTATTAATGAGTTTGCTGGGGCACTAGGAGGATAATAACTCTGTTTGGGAATGTTCCCAAAGTATATGGCGTATGCTCTTGCTGAGACAAGCACTGTCAAGTGTTTTAGTTGCTATAACTCAATGGATATCTGAGGCAAAAGATTTCCAACCTCATCCTGGAAGCCTCAGCATAAAGGGTTCCTTTTGCAGAAGTCCTTCTCAGCCTCCTCAGCCCATCCCCACCAGCAATACTGCCATCAATTGACCCTAGGACAAGTTGTCCTGCAAATGGTAATGCTGATTTTATTTAGGCCTTGCTAAATTAAGGAAAAACATTTATTCAACAGCAAAAGCTTTTATTATTTAGCAAAAGAAGAATGTACCAAGCAACTCTTTTCTTCTAAACAGGAAGAACTGAAGGTTTTAGGAATTGGAAATTTATTCTTCTAAACAGTTTTTTCTTTTAAAAATGGTTTTAAAAAGCACCTTCTTTTGTAAAAGAAAGTGTACATGTAGATGGAAGTTGGTTTTATTTATTAGTGAGAATCAGAGAAAATAATTATGTTCATTACTTCACTGTTTGGGAGATTTAAAGACCTCGAATATTAATTTATATGTCCAGATATTGAAATTTAAAACTGACCTTAGAAAAAAAATTCTTAACTAGAATTTGCCTATAATGCATTTTACCAAAACAGATCTCCTAGTTGAACCAGGAGTCAAATACTTACCACTATATAACAATGCTAAATTAAATAAATATTAATGGTAAATAACTATATTTAATTTAAGTTACCATTATATAATAATGGTAAATTAAATAAATGGTAAATTAAACAAAATAATTTGCTGCCCCCAACAATTGGCACTTTTCTATTTATTTTCATGAATAAGCTACCAGCCTAATATATTTCAAAATATGGGAGAGATGTGGACTAATCTGTAAGGGCAGCCATGCCAAGTTAAAAAGACAATCCCAGCTTGTTGTTACTAATATGCAGTAGCATTTATAACATTGCATTAAATTTGAAGGAAACTGCAAAGGATCTGGCTTACTTGCAAAACCATGGCTCAAGATCTGGTTAGAAGCAGCCTAGATGGGGAAAATCCAACTGAAGTGGATATTGACTTTCCTTCTCCTTTCCATAGAACCAAGTGAGTCAGCCAGCACAGAGAGAAGTGCTGGGAGGTTGTGAAACACAGGGGCTGCTTGATCTGGGCAGTGCTCCATGGGGAAGCCGGGGTGGGCCCTGGGGGGGTGGAGCTTCAGGAGGTTCCAGGGTCAACTGAGAGAGGACTGTGACATTGAGGAAGGAAGGAAGGAAGGAAGGAAGGAAGGAAGGAAGGAAGGAAGGTTGGTTTACGGTGTGACAGCAGTGGGATGAGCACAAGAACAAGCTCAAAGCAACGCATGAAGTCAAATTCCTCAAAGACCAAAATCACCTCTAGAGACAAAACTGAAGTATTGCTCTTCCTCCTTTTTGCCCCACTGCAGTGGGGACAGGAAAGGATTGTATTCTCACCACCTTGCTGTGGGGTTGGCATGGAGCATGAGAGCATGTTTGCTTTCTCCACTGAGCAAACACTGGCTCAGCAGTGACTCTGTAAGATTCGCCAAAGGATGAAGCAATTTATGAGAACCATGCCACTAAGACTGAGACACTAATAACATTACAGGGACATCTGAGGATACTGTTGTACTTACCAAAGTACGAGAAGCAACATCACCTTCTCCAAGTTATACAAATGAAAGAAAGTTATTTAGTGTCCATCCAGTATTGCTCAAGAGATAGTAAATTATTATTCCTCAAATGTCTGCTGAAGGCTTTTTGAGCTGCCTGACAATAGGATTTCTCCTAGTCTACACATGTCACCTTCCATGTTATCTGAGATCAAAATGACGCATTCCCTCTTTTTATACCTCTTTCTTTAAGGCAGTGTGATTGCTTGTTTACAGAACATGGATACTAGTACAGCTCAGGGAACAAAAAATTAACAGGCACTATCCAGCAGAGGGAGCACAGTAACGCAAAAAACCCTCAGCTATAAAGTGAGGAAATTTTCTATTAAAACCCACAATAACTGGCAATCTGAGTTTACTGTTTTAGCACATGGCATGGAAAAGGCAGAATTTAAATAAAAATAGAGAGATGTGAGAGAGGAATATCAAACAAATACAAGAAGTAAAAGAATTTATTTCCTGATATTTTCTTTTGTAATCAGGCAAATGTAACTTAACTGCTGAAAAAACTGAGGTTTAAAAGAGATCAAGGATGATCTTGGAAAGAGTAATAACATTTATTTTAAAATCCTTGTTTTAATTTAATAGAACAGGCTGCTTCGGCTGAAAGACAAGTACTGCTTTCAGTTTGATGGTGCACTTCCTCTTGTTCCTCATGAAGTCATATATCTCAGAAATAACTGATGCACCCATTCATTTGGAGTAATTTTTAGTGTTCAATATGACAGAAATCATACTAGATATTTTCTGTCTTCTGTGCCTGTTACACTTTCTAGTCTAATCAAGCTCAAATATTTGTGAATTAAAAGAGGGAACAAGAGCTAATACCTATTTTTATAAGAAATTATCATCAACCAGAGAAAGAACCCATCACAGTTTGATGTGATCTACATGAACTACAGTAATTAAAGAAACAATGTAATACCTTAAAATTGTTGCCATCTTAAATGCAAACATTTCTCAGGGTGCATTTCATTAATATATTTATACCACAGAATTTTTTAATTAGTGCATCTAAATTCTAAGCTGTGCCACTGACTGTTATTTGACCTTTGGCAATTCACAGACTTTCTAAGAGAGTTTCTGTTATCTTTGTAATGAAAATCATATTGATTTCACAGCTGGGTATGGTGTAACAGCAGTTTTGCCTGCTGGTAGAAAGTGGTTGAAATAAAAACATAATTTTAAAAGGAAAGAGAGAAGAAAGAACTGGATGTTCTGATCAGAAATGCTAACTACAGATAACTCAAGATAGAATATTTTCAGTTTAACTCTTATTTGTTTTCCAACGAAAAAGCCAAGCATGATGAAGACTAATTAGCTATATTTGCTGCTAAGCAAACTTAATTCTCTCCACAAACTAGCAGTAAGATTAACAACTGAAACAAAACATCTATACTGCTAAATATTGAAGATGTCCCCATCCAGCAGATTTTTCATTTTGTTGTATAATGTCCTAAGGAGATGAGGCAGGCACATTATCCATTCACTCAACTATTACCCCAATTTCCCTGGTAATTTTTCAACCTCTTGGACAATTTGAACCAAACCTAGAACAACAGTGGAAGTCACAGAGATGTTAAAGACGTTATACCACCAGATCCAACTGAGACTGTATGAATTTTAATGGACACTTGATACGTTTGTTAGTTGCACATGTCCCTGCTCAGTAAAAATAAGTAGAGTGGAGGTAGGGCATTGCAAGAGGTTTCTCACCCCGAATTTGTCCTGGTTCGGGCAAGGGACAGGGTTAGCTGTTGCAGTAACCAAGAGGGACATGGGCTGGACCCAGAGGTTATTCCGTACCACCTCACATGATTTCCCAGGGGAAAGGGGTCCCCTCTGGGTGTGGTGGAGGGAGTGGTTGGGTGTTGTTGGGGTTCTGCGTGGTGAGCATTCATGTTTGATATTGTTACCATTACCGTTCACTGTAGGGGTGGTTTTTTTATTTCATGGCTGTTTCCAGTAAATTGCACTTATCTCAATTTGTGATGTTTACTTTTTGCGCTTCCAATTCTCCTCTCCATCCCTCCACAGGGGAGGGAGAGTGGAACAGGGTGAGCAGCACATGGTTTAGAGTCTTTCAGTGAGAACACTAAACTGGGAAATGCCATTCCTAGACTACAACACCAATAATGGTTTAAAGACACAGCATTTTTACACTGACAGGACAAGCTGATTCACAGAAAGCAAAGGTGTCATCTTGGGAAAAAGTCTGAAGAATTATTTCTTAAACATACTAAAATTGTTTTGCTTATATACTTGTGTATTCCACTGCTCTTCTAAAATATCTTATTTCATCAGTCTAACATAAATTCATTTATTTTTACATAATTCTATTTTAGTAACTTGTTAAGATCATGGTAAACTTTTAAAATTATTTTAAAAACATGATGACCACTAAAGATATTACAATTGTAGTCCAAACTAACTTCAAAAACGTCTCATTAAAAGTTCCTTACTGTTTATGACCAAAGCATTCTCATGATCCTCTATAGTCACATAAATCCAACACATTAACTTTTAGAAGGTTTTTACTGTCTTTTTTCTATCTAACAAACACAAATACCTTTTGCTAGGCCAAGACAATCCCTTACTATCCCACAGTAGCCAACAAAGTACAGGCAGGTTCCTTAAAAGCCCAGCTCATTTTCAGCTACATGGCAACCACTATTAAGATCTGGTGTGTGGTATGAGTAAGTGTGGATGGTGACCAAGAAGAAACAAGGAAAAATTAATTAACTTCAGCCGCACATGGACACACACACACACATATGTGCATCTCAAACAAGCAGATAAACCCATGCACAAGAAGATACTTGATGTCAAATCAAGAAAGACAAGGATAACAGAAAGACAAGGATAACAGAAAGACAAGGAACTACTAGAGAGGGTCCAGCAGAGGGCTATAAAGGTGACAAGGGAAAGGGAGCATTATTCAGGAGTGATACTATCCTCTTAAGACGATAGGCTAAGCGAATTGGGCCTAGTTAGCTTGAAGAAGAGATGACAGAGAGGGGATCTCATTCAGGTTCATGCAAATATGCATCAACAGAGAATCAGTCTGAAATATTATGTAGGGTGACACAGTATATTAAAGCACTATTTTTCAAACACGGGTTTCTGTTACTGTATAGTAAACCCTAGCTGAATCTCAGGGATGGAAATAAGCCCACACGTGTGCTGCAAGTCTTCCTACATAACTACATCACTGAAGGCAAACATGTGGGGTAAGTAAACCATGAGCCCCAGATTACACACCATGTTCTCTAAGAGCAGGAGGCATGAGCTACATATGCCAAACTTACGCCACTCTGAGAGGTGGTGTCTTCCCCCAACAGCAAATGCTGTGCCACCATCAGAAGCCTCTGCCGACACAACTGTCTGGTGCAAAGATATCTGTGGCTCTGGGGAACACAGCACACCAGCTTTGATCCTTACATTCCAGCTCTGAACTTCCCAGAATGCTTGGGTTCTGCTCTTCCCAAGGCTTTGTGTCAGCTCCATCATCAGGTATTGCAGTGGGTTCCTCCTCTACCATGCCATTAATAGTATTTTATCTCACCGAAGAGCTATGACATGTCCCAGCAGCATAGAGGGATTTAATAATAAAACCAGCAAATGAAAGTGCCTTTCTAAATTCCAATGGGTGTAGCAACAGTCATTTAAAAATATCTGCTATTTAGGATTGTCTGTTTAGCTGTTGTCAAGGTATATATTCAACTTTTAAAATTTCTGATCAGATATACTATGGCTACTACATTTCAGAGAAACAAATATTTTTTTTTGTGGTAAATGTTCTTACCACAAAGCTCTTGGGTGCAATTTTTTTTCCTGAATGCAAGAATTCACATGAACCTGCTTTGTAAAAAAAAAATAAAAAATAAAAAATAAATAAAAAAATAAAAAAAATTTTAAAAAGGAGGAAAAAAGCAGAGCCAAAACCAAAACTGAAAAAGTACCTCTCAGGAAGGTACTCAGATGAAGAGAAATAATTTTTTACCCACAGACCACTATAGACCATTAAGGATGTGCCAAACTGACACTCACTTATCTGGGTTAATGGTCATAATGAACCATCTGTTGCTATGAAACTGTTTAAAATCTATTGTGTCTATTGAATGTAAGGAAACGTACCTGTAAAACCACTCTGAATATGTGCCTGAGCTTCGTTAGAGAACATGAATGGCCAGAATAGAGGTCCTGATTTTAAAAATATAAAAAAAAATCTGTGAAGATTTTTGCTTCTTGCAACTATCTATTTCCTTTCAAGCTTCTCAGTTAAAAAAAAAATACTGATTGCAGTTTATCAAACTTATTTTCATTTTACTGTGTTTTTCATATAAACACATTCTAAAGAGCTACAGCCATGGAAAATTTAGGTACATCAAGAGGTTGCTGGATGGTGCAGTTTTCGGTGGGCTGGGCCACTGTTTATCTTTTTTTATGGATAACAATGAGTTTTTGCCTTGCTAACACTCAATGTTGTAATATGTTCCAGGACTTTGCTGTGAATCATAGTCTGAAAAATCCCAGTCCTATTAGTCTTGCTTTAAGCTATTAACTCCAAAAAGTAGAAGCTACACGATTTTGGGAAGACAGAGCATCTTGCCAGTACCTTCTGTGGACAGAGTGGACTGTTACTGAAGCCAGTTCCCTTCCAATAACCGAACAATTTTATTTAAAGCTAACTTCAGATACCTCTACCCTATACTGAAATCTACAGGGCATGTATATGTGCAGGAGCATAGGTATCCAAGTCTAGAATTGACATTCTAGTGAAGCCTCCAAAATTTTGTCTCATTTCCCCGTTCATTGATTAAGTGCCTATACCTTTACAGTGCATCAATTTCTACTGTTGCAGCTTGCAAGGTCACCTAAATTCACATATCAATGGACCCAAACATAGCTATTTCAATGACAAATAAAAATATCAATTGCATATATCTGCTTCCCTTGTGTCCAGTGAGAAAGGTGAAGGGAGGAACGAGGTTTGACATAAGCCTGGGTGAGGTGAAGAGTCCAGCCAGCCACATTCATTTCCATTAATCTGGAACCTGTAGGTACACGGTCTCCCAGGGTATACACCTAAAAAACCCAAGGAAGGAGAGACAGTGTTTCGCATGAGCCAGGAACCAAGATCCAGATGAGCATGGTTCCAGAGGCACCAAGTGCAGTTTGTTGCTCAGCCTTGATGGTTGATAGTGTCCTTGGTCAGGATCAAGATCTGCTGAGGTCTAAGCAGCTGAAGGAGAAAGAAACAGAACAGTCAAGTCAAATTCCTGTGACATTCTGCAGTAAAAGTGCTATGTCCCAGACATATTACAGGCAAGGTAAAGATACTGCATTCAAGTTATAATCTGAAAAATAAAGACTGCCCAGAATAAAACAAATAAATCAATTCTAAACTTTGTGTCAGAAGTATGTGTTTGAGAATTGTGATTTACAAGTGATCAGTCAGCTGCCCTGGCCCAACTGTTTTATTCTGAAAGACTCAACTGCAAATACAAGTAATACAGTAATAAGGACTTTTAAAGTTATCTCTGAAGTATCTACACTTTATCCTTTTAGATTTTTAATGGATTTCACATGATACATGCACTTCTTGAGAACTGAAGTGCTACTTCTAATATTTCCAGTTAAATGAAATCTTTAAAATAGAAGGAATGATAAAAATCTAAAATTATATTTAGCATTCTGAATGCATTTAGGACACTCAATTGATTTCTGAAGTTCCCACATGAGTGATCTACAGTGATATAATTCAGTACAACAGTAACAGGTGCCGAAAAAGTAATTTTAAACAAATTAATTTTACCACATTATCAGTTCTTCCCCCTTACAGCCAACTTTCCAAGTACTCCTATGCAATTATTGAAATGAAGGTATATCAAAAAGTACTTTGTTCCAAGATGTATTTCCATTTTTATTACAAGACCACTGGAGTAACAGCATTGTTTACTCTCCTTTCTACAGGAGGATTTTATCACTGCTTGAAGACACAAAGATAGTGTAAGAAGTGTACATGAATCCTACCTTTTAAACTAGAGTTTTTCTACAGGAATAAAATATACAGAAGAACTAGAAGAAGGGACCTCCAGATGACACCTAATACATCCTCCTGCCTGCAGGAAGCAGTTTCTCAAGTACTCTGATCTTACAGATCTCCAGTTGAGATGGAAACTCCAAAGGCTTGCCAAGCAATCTATTCCCTCTCCTCACCATTAAAGTTTTCTGTAATTTTAAAATAAATCTTCCCTGCTGTAATTTAGCCTATTACTACTTGTTTTATCAAACAGGCAAAGGAAATAGATTGTTCTTTTCCTCCTTGGAGCAACCTCTTGTATTATAGTGTCTTCATTCTATCTTTTCTGTCAGACTAAATGAACATAATTTATATCTTTTTTTTTTCCTCTTAGGTTATAATTTCTACACTTCTGTCTTTTTTGTCACTCTCCTTTGGACTGTTTCCAGTTGATTGTCTTCTTTCCTCAAGTCTGGTGTCTAAAACTGGACATGGTGTTATAATTCAGTATGAAATTAAGATTTGTTAGTACCAGATTTCATCTAATTATTTAAATAATGAAGCTAATCATCTGCCAGGAGAAGGATACCAAAGCTCTCATTCTAGTAATTCTCCTGCTGGAAACCAAAGTCGAAAGCTAGATTAATTAAAGCACAGTTCATTGAAAATCAATCTAAGGAAGCTTGTTTTCCTTTTGGATTTGTGTCTTAAGCCTGACTGACCAAACATCTAAGAAAACACAAACTCTAACTCAAGTTTGTTTGCATCACACTATTTCTATGAGCTTTCTCGTGTCCACTAAGAGTGAAACTCCTATAAAGTCTTTCCTTCAGTGCAGTTTATCTGCCACTAAGAGCATATTTCCAGATTCATAAAAAAACAAACAGGGAAGCTTCCCAGGTATGAGCCTCTGGGATGACAGCTGGAGTAGATGGGGAAAGAAGGAGCAGGAGGTGACAGCAACTGGACCATAAACAACTGCTGCAGGTTTTAATGGCTGATTCAGGATTAGGCCGCGATTTTACAACTAGTTCTGCTGACTCTGACAAAACAGCCCCTACCATAAGCCCACCTCACCAGCTATTTTGTACAACAGCATGATTTCCTAAGCCCTACTTCTCAAAGAGACTGCATGATTTCCTTGCAACAGTTGTGAGCTATATATACAATGCCTTATTACACCCTATCTTGGAGTACAGATTTTAGATCTCCTGTTGTATTAAAGCATTTTAAAGTTTCAAATGAGACATGCATGTGAGAACATCTATTCCCTTTCTTTTTTCTTATTTGTCCTCCCTCATTTAATTGCTTTAGTCTTCTAAGAGAAAAATATATGTGCTTTTGAGAGCAGGATCCTGCATTCAACATTCTGTCATTTATTTTGTTTTTACAGTAGTTTAAGTAATAAATCCGGTTGTATATAGGTGGAGCCACTCAAGGATTATATAAGATATTCATTATGTGAGACAAAAGGTCTCACATAATTAATATCTTATATATTGATATTAATTAATCTTATATGTTGATATGTATTATTGATTATGTATTAAACTTATCTATTGATATATCTTATATATTGATATGAATTAATATCTTATTTATTCATTCCTGGAGGACTAAGGAATGAATACTTGTGTCACCAATGATGACATAATTTCCCCTGTTAAAGAGTTATGATTGTGACTCTAGGATTTTGGTCATAAATAAGTAAGAGGGTAGTGGTATTTCTACTTGCATTAATTTGAAAAACTTCTGTAGCAGACAACATTTTATATAATCACTATTTTTAAATGCGTTTGATATTTCAGGTTACATTGAATACTGGGGATTTCAGGAACAATGCCACGAAACTTGAACAGTACATCAGCCTAAAGAAGCTGCTTCAACCTATTGAGGAATTGTCACATTTGCTTATAGTTACTCTGATAACTTTGATACTAAGGTCTACACACATTGTTAATTTCAAGAAGCTGTCTTGCTATTATGAACCACCTCTTCAAAAGCATCCACCTTCTTTCCTAGTGATTGTAGAGGACCTTTGGAGGTTATTCCTGCCATCAACTATCCAACATTAGGTACTTAACATGGCCTCCTTTTTTCTCTTTGCCAAAGTTAAGATACTTAAAATACAGTACATAATGTGACCAGTGAAGGATGGCAACCAGGAAACCAAATGGGAGAGGTGTAAAATCTCGTGAAAAGATTTTCTACAGAGCAAGCAGTGACTGACCTGACAAATAAATCAGAGCAAGACCACAGACAAAGCTGCTAAAACAGGCTGAAGAATGGAGCAGGCAGAAAGAAAGAAATAAATATGATAGTGAGAGAGAAAACCAGCTTGTCCTGGCTATGTAAGAACAGAATAAGGACTGGAAAAACTTAAAGTGATTGGCAAAACGACTGGAGCCTCGAGCTCCGAGGTCAAGGTTTTACTAAATAAAAAGATGTTAAACAGAAGCCCAGATGAAGAACCTTATCAACTAAATTAGGAGAATTGGAGCAAGACACAAGGACAGGTATTAGAGCACACTGGCAGAAGTTGGGGAGACAGTGGCAGACAAATACATAGCAGTGGAAAAAGATAGAAAGGTGTCTCAGCCTCAAGAGTAGACTAGTTATGAGCTATTCCATCATATCAGCTAGTTTCTAGAGGTAAATAAAGCTGCTAAGTTACTTACTTTGGTCTCACATCTGCACAAACACCACCAACTCTCTTTCAGTAATGACTGCAATATTTATGTTTGAGTTCTTATTTGAAGATGGATTCAGGATTGGTAGTTACACTATTTAAAAATTCCATACCATTTCTATCTGAATTTGACTTTACTTTTGAAACACTGGCTCTTTGTATGCCTTTTTTTTTTCTATGCATGTAACAGTTCTGTTCTACTCATAAAATTATTGGGTGTAAGTAAGCTTCTGTCTTCATAATATTAATTCCATAAAGATACTTACACACCGACCATAAAGAAGCAAGATCACATTTTCTACAATTTTTTTCTTTCTTTCAAATCTTTTCCTGGGAATGGGGCAAATTTCTAAAGTAGACAAGACTGCAGACAAAGAACTCATAAAGTTTTGCTTAAACCGCAGTAACAAATTGTTTTAACATTGTTTAATCTTTAAATACATTGAATACATATAATGTAACTAAATAAAATGTGGGATGAATTTGCAGAAATTTCAATATTTGGGTTTTACTGGATGTGACCATGTAAACAGGATGTAATGTTTACTTACTATAAAGCCCATGTTAAGGACACCGTAAAACAATGTTTTTTCAAATTGCAATTAGTTAAAGACCAGGGAAAAGGCAAGTAGCACACCAGCTTCTTACAGGTGCAAAACCAGCCTACTGAAATCATGCAGTGAAAAAATATTCCTGCAAGTGTACAGCCTGCTTTAACCTGTGGATTTGGAACAAGGCAGAGATACAAGAGATTTTTGTTACTTGGCACCAGTTCTTGGAAAGTTCAAAGGCACTACAGAGCTTCACCATCTCCAGTGAGGCCCTTGTTGGTAGTTACTTGCATTTCTATGAACCTACACTTTTGCCACAAGGCAAGGAATCTTAGCCTTATTATCTTGACAGCCCTTGAAATCGGCTAGCTCACCTCTTAAGCCTAAATGAGATTCTTATTACAGGAAGCTCCCACCCTGCCTCACCTGCAGGCTGAAGCACAACCCTTCCATTGAGAGCTTGGAAAAAGGCAGCTGAAGACAAGAGCACTTGGCACTGGCCAGGATATGCTCCTCAGCATGCCCCAGTGGCACAGCGAGTAGGAAACTCCCCTGGAATGCAGCCATTCCCCACTAGCTTGCTTGGGCAGCTTCCTGATCAGAGGTTTCTGTGAAATCCACTCCCACTTCTCCTCCCACACTGCTAAGGAAGCCTCTGAACCTTGAGATGGGCTGTGACTTCCTCCAGGCAAAGGGCATCCAGAATTACGCAGTGTGATGCACAGCAGAGGAACAAATAACCTGTCTCCAGCATTTCAGCCATAAAGTGGGGGTGGAAGCATTCCTATCATGACCTGCCTGTTGACACATCTCCAGAGGAAAGAGCAGCTCCCATCCCAATTCATGCTACTTGAGATGATTAAAAAAAACTCCAGACAACCAAACAGGATATCAATTCATTACATTTAATGCGTCTGCTAATTTATTCTCTAATCTTCATCTGCAAGATAAAGCCTTCAAGGGCCACCCCATCTGTGCCT